CTGGGCGCACTTCCGCCCGCGCAGCAAGTTCGTGTGGGCGCCCCACGACAAGCTGCAGCAGCCCCTGCCCCGCTCGCCTCCCCGTCTGGCCGGGGCGCCCCCGGACGAGGCCGACCCTCAGGGCCAGACCTGCGGGCAGGGCGGGGACAGTGCCCCCCAGGAGGCGGGGTCCCCCAAGAAGGACTGTGGAGACCCGCACAATGAGGTGGGGGCGGGCGCCGAGCCCCCGAGCCCGAAGGAGAGCAAGAAGAGGAAACTCGAGGTGACCCGGGGTGGACAGGCTGCAGCCGAGCCAGGCCTGCAGGGCACCTCCGAGGTGGAGCGGATCGCACTGAACCTGGAGGGCTGTGCCCTCAGCCAGGCCAGCCTGGAGGCGGCCAGCCCCGAGGGGGGCAGCCTGGAGGTGGAGGAAGACGAGCAGCCCTGCCTCCAGCCCCCTGGGGCCAAGGTGACCGATGAGGTCAGGAAGCGCCGCAAAGTGGACAAAGGCGTGGGCAGTGGTGATGAGGCCCAGGCGCCAGCCCCCACCTGGCCCCCAGCCGCACTGCAGGGGCCTGAGGACAAGGAGCCGGCAGGCCCCACACAGGGGGAGCAGGGTGCTCCTGAGAGCCCTCAAAAAGACCCGGTCGAGACTCCCACCAGACCCCTTGTGGGTGAAGGGGCCGAGGCCACCACCAGAGCCCCAGTGGGTGAAGGGGCCAAGGCCACCACCAGAGCCCCAGTGGATGAAGGGGCCGAGGCCACCACTGGACCCCCAGTGAGTGAACAGGCTGATGCCCCCACCAGAGCCTGCGTGGGTGAAGGGCCCGAGACCACCACCGGATCTCCCATGAATGAAGGAGCTAAGGCCCCCACCAGAGCCCCTGTGGGTGAAGGGGACGGGGCCCACACCTGCAGAGCCATAGAGGAGGGCCCTGCCCAGTGAGCAGCCAGGTCCCCAGAGAACCAAGAACAGCCCCTGGCGAACTCCAGCGGGGCTTGGAGAGCCTTTACATACCTCAGCCACCTCCACCTCTGCCCCTCCTGTCTTTGTAAGCTGATTCTTAGGGGCAGGGGGCTCTTTTTAAGTGTGGTGCCAAGGCCTTTTCTGAATAAACTCGTTGAACTTTGAATCTGGAGCATGAATGGGGGCGTCAGGGTGGGGGGCTGGGGACTGGTTCCTCCCTGCCTCAAAGAGGCCTTTGTCCAGCTGCTGCCTGCCTGT